TTGCACCTGGTCATTACGAAAGTGAGTACCCGAGCTCGTGGCCAGAAACTGCGAATACGGACGTATCAGCCCCACCACAACCGGCAGAAATACACCCGCCAGAATTACCGGCAGTGAGTGCCCCCAGGATAGTCGATCCCCCAGGAGACGTTGTGGCCAGGGATGTTGGAGGCCAGGGAAACACACAGGGCAGTGCGGCAGAGTCAAACTTGCCGCCGAACCAGCTGGAAGGGGTGGAGCCCAGGAGATCAGAGAGGATCCGGCGGCGCCCTGCGTATCTAAGAGATTACGCGTGACGGCGCATGCGCTAACTGGGTGGGAAGGAGTGTTGCATACTGGGTTCCGTTGCTACGGCCTCTAGCGGCCGGGTTAATTATACATGAGTTCTTATTGGTTATTGTTGCTACAGGAGTTGTGATTGGTTAATACATTGACAGCTCGGTATATAAAAGGAGCTGTCAAAGCGCGGGAGTGTGTTCGTTCGTACCTGTTAGAGATTGTTAATAAACAGGTGTTGATCCATGCACAGAGTCGCCTCAGATGACTGTTGACCCACAAATGTAATAGTTTCTTGCAGAAGAGCCTGACAAGGCAAGACTGGGCTTTGTTGCAGAAGCTTCTGGCTTCATAGCAACCTCATGCCATTGTTGCCAAGCAAGTAGTACTTCTTACAAGTCTATAGGAGACTCCATTTTTAAAAGAAGTTTCCACAAACTCCACAAACAAACAAAGCCTTCTATAGTGTCACAAATACTACTTGCCTTGGGAAACCCTTGAGTGTCCTCATGGGAAGTAGGATTCAGCCCAGTGGTGGGATTCTACTGGTTTGCACCGGTTCGGTAGAACTGGTTGTTAAGTAGTTAAGCAATTCGGAGAACCAGTTATTAGAAAAAAATCTCCTTTTGTTTTTTTCCACTTTACAGGGTTAATCCTGTAAGGAATTTTTGTTTCCTAGCCTAATCTTTATTGCCCTGATTACAGAAACTGCCTCTCCGTTAACCCTTATTACATTCTTGGCAGTACGCCTAGACTTACTGTCGCTTCTGGTTCTGGAGCTTCTCGGAGTTGTTGTTGTTTTTTGCTTGACTTTCTTAAAGGGGAAGGGTTATTTTAAGCTTTTTACACTGTTGTTGGGAGGAAATACTCCCCCGTTGGAGTTCTTCCAGCCAGAGTGCAATGATCAGCACTTTGAAGAAATAATTGAATAACAAAGCAGAAGGTTTTAATGACATGGAACCAAGATGAGTGACATTCAGCAAGGCTTCTTGGCTAGCTAGAAAGATTGACCTTCAAACATGAGTTTACATACCCTTTCTGACTTTTGGTCTAAAACTGGGTTTTGGTGAAGTTTAATTCTGTGCTTGATGATGTTTAATCCTGTGTTTAGTGATGAGATAATTTTCCCTATTCAGCTTTGTTTGGAAGGAAAAATGTTAATCTCTGTTCCTGAAAAGAAGCAGCTTCGGAAATCTGACTAGTTCCTGTGTCTATTTGTTCTGGTAATTGGTTTAACAAGCAACAGATACTGTTTGCTCCTTTGCTTCATTCTGGAGAGCTTAAATGACCTCTCTGCTAAAGGGTTTCACTTTATGAGCAAGAATTGGCTGCTGATAGTTATAATTGCATTTTAACTATTTTAATTCCTCAAGGTGCTGTGGCACCCTGCCTGATTTGTAACTCCAGTTTGCAGGTATTTCTAATCTAATGATTGGTATTTAGGGCAGCTTTTTCCAAGCAAAAAAGCTTTTTGTATTTTTGTACAGGTAATCCTTGACTTACAACAGTTAAAATGGCACTGAAAAAAGTGACTTATAACCGTTTTTCACACTTACGACCATTGCAGCAAACTGTCATTAGGGCAAAGAAGCGATGCCACATGACCACCTGGCCAAACCTGATCACGTGAAGTACTGCAGTTGTGAAATGAGTGACACAGTTGTTAAGAATGCTGCAACGGGCATAAATGATGAATGGTCAGAAGTGCGAAGACCGGTCAAAAGTACAAGGACCTGTCAGAAATCACTTTTTTCACCCCTCTGGGTAGTCTCTATGTGCATATGGACTACTCAGAAGGCTGAAAAAGTTATTTTTGACTGTTCCTCACACTTTTGACCGTTCCTCACACTTTTGACCAGTCTTCACACTTATGACTGTCATCACATTTTATGTTTTGCACCCTATTTTGTTACCATGGTGAAGAGAAGTAGTTGTAAAATGAGTGACACAGTTGTTAAGAATGCTGCAACGGGCATAAATGTGAGGATGGTCATAAGTGTGAGGACTGGTCAAAAGTGCAAGGACCAGTCAGAAATGACTTTTTTCAGCCATCTCAGTAGTCCCTATGCACATAGCCATGGCCACCCGGTCACATGTCCAACTAGCCATGCCCACCTGGTCACATGACGAGCAAGCCACGCCCACCCACTCACATGACAACCAAGCCACGCCTGCCCCAAATAAACCACTCCCACAGAACCGGTTGTTTAAAAAATTGAAACCCACCACTAATTCAGCCTATAAGCTGTAACTGCCCTTCACGTGCAATCACTTATGATGACTGGCTTCAGAATAGAATAGAATAGAATAGAATAGAATAGAATAGAATAGAATAGTTTTTATTGGCCAAGTGTGATTGGACACATAAGGAATTTGTCTTGGTGCATATGCTCTCAGTGTACATAAAAGAAAAGATACATTCATTAAGAATCAAAAGTACAACACTTAATGATAGTCATAGGGTACAAATGAGCAATCGAATCATATTAGGAAACAGTCAATATAAATCGTAAGGATACCAGCAACAAGGTTACAGTCATACAGTCATAAGTGGGAGGAGATGGGTGATGGGAACAATGAGAAGATGAGAAGATTAATAGTAATGCAGATTTAGTAAATAGTTTGACAGTGTTGAGGGGATTATTTGTTTAGCAGAGTGATGACATTCAGGGAAAAACTGTTCTTGTGTCTAGTTGTTCTGGTGTGCAGTGCTCTATAGTGTCGTTTTGAGGGTAGGAGTTGAAACAGTTTATGTCCAGGATGTGAGGAGTCTGTAAATATTTTCACAGCCCTCTTTTTGACTCGTACAGTATATAGGTCCTCAATGGAAGGCAGGTTGGTAGCAATTGTTTTTTCTGCAGTTCTAATTATCCTCTGAAGTCTGTGTCTGTCTTGTTGGGTTGCAGCACCAAACCAGGCAATTATAGAGGTGCAGAAGACAGACTCAATAATTCCTCTGTAGAATTCTGTATCAGCAGCTCCTTGGGCAGTTTGAGCTTTCTGAGTTGAGGGAGAAAGAACATTCTTTGTTGTGCTTTTTTGATGACATTTTTGATGTTAGGTGTCCATTTTTGATCTTGCGACATGGTAGAACCTAGAAATTTGAAGGTCTCTACTGTTGATACTGTGTTGTCTAGTATTGTAACAGGTGGAAGTATGGAAGGGTTTCTTCTAAAGTCCATCAGCATTTCTATGGTTTTGAGTGTGTTTAGTTCCAGATTGCTCTGGTTGCACCATGAGGCTAGTTATTCAACCTCCCGTCTGTATGGATTCATCATTGTCTCGAATGAGACCGATCACTGCTGTGTCATCTGCGAACTTCAGTAGTTTAACGGATGGATCATTTGAGATGCAGTCATTGGTATAAAGAGAGAAGAGAAGTGGGGAAAGCACACAGCCTTGGAGGGCCCCTATGCTAATTGTACAGGTATCTAATTTGATTCTGCTTAGCTTCACCTGCTGCTTCCTGTTTGTTAGGAAGCTTATGATCCGCTTACAAGTGTGTTCAGGTACCTCTAGCTGGTTTAGTTTAGTTAGAAGAGTGTCTGGAAAGATAGTATTGAATGCTGAACTAAAGTCTACAAAGACCTACCTTGCGTAGGTCTTTGGAAATTCAATCAGTGGTGGGTTGCCCCCAGTTCACACTGGTTCTATAGAACCAGTAGTAAAACCAGTGGGAGGCTCCGCCTACTGACCCCCAACGTCATCAAAATGCTTCTGTGCATGCGCAGAAGCTTCTGCACACGCGCAGAAGAGCACACGAGCAAAGCAAGCAAGCGCGCGGCCCCATTATGAACCAGTAGTAAAGGTAGGTAGAATGTAATGCAGAGCCATATTAACAGCATGATCTGTTGATCTATTTTCTCGGTATGCAAATTGCAGAGAGTCTAACAGCGGATCCGGGATGGTTTTCAAGTGGGACAACAGATGTTTTGCTTTTGTTTTTGTTTTAATGATGTAGGAGCCAAATTATTTAATGTGTTTTTAAATTGTTTTTAAATTTTATATGGATACTAGTTTTATCTTTGGCTGTGCACCGCCCTGAGTTCTTCGGGAAAAGGGTGGTATAGAGATTAGATTAAATAAATAAATAAATAAAGCAACTGGTCTGTAGTCATTCAGTTCCTTGATGATGGGCTTCTTCGGCACTGGGATGTTAGTAGAGCATTTGAAGCAGGAAGGAACATAGCACATCTCTAGCGATTTATTGAAGATTCGGTTCCCTTGCCATGTTGAATAGCTGATGCCTCGGGAACTCTGAGGGAAAGGGAGCAGAGGACTGGGTGTTTTGGGATTGGGGGAGGCCTGGGGCAGGCAGGCCTGGTCCTGCACTAGACCTCCAAAGACTCCCCTACCTTTAAGGCTCCACTTAATGACCCACACATTCGTTTAATGATTGCACTGGAAGAGCAGGAATGGGGGTCATTAAGTGAGGCACTTCACTTAACGGACATTATGACATGCAACGGTAATGGGCAGGTACCATTAAGGCTGTAATTCGGGGACTACCTATATTTCTGCCTTTAGTTTCTCATTCATAAATGTCCACTGTCCTCCAGTTTTCTCTGCATTTTTACTTCTTTAAGCTTCTGTGTTGCGAAGGTCACATGATGATATTGGGGGCATGGGGAGGAAAAAGTTGAAAAGTTTGGCCTTGTTTTGTTTTTTGTTTTTTTTAATTGGATGTATAATTTATGGAAAAATAGATGTAATAAACTTAGCAGCGGCTCAATGCACATATTTTATCCCTTCCTTTAAATACATACAAGGGTTAATCCATGTTTATGGGTTACTTCTTTTTTTCAAGGCTTGCAGAAAATTGTTGTCTTTTTTTTTCCAGAGGTCCAGGAGGAGAATTGGGAGCTAAAAAGAAGCAGAAACAACGTAAGAAAAAAACAAATTCCAGAGATATCAAATCAGACTCTGTTGCTGACTCCCAGGAGATTAAAATTCAGCAACCTTAAAAAGTGAGAGATTGGTCTTTGTTTTCTTATCCCTATTTTACTCTGGGTATTAGTGACCACAGAATGAACTGACCCACTTCATACATTCAAATGAATTATTAAATCAAATCAGCTTGGAAATTCAACTTGAATTGTTTACAATATTCTCAGTATGATGATGTAAATAAATTATCAAATCTTCATCATTATGTTATGGTAATGGTATGGTTATGGTATGGTCATTATGGTAACAGAACATAACTAATCTTCTTCAGACTTAGCAATTAAGTAGGGTCAAGCTTGCTTAGTGCTTGCATGAAGATTATGAGGGAATATTGGACCTATAAATAGGCTGGGAAATTTAAAAGTATATCCTGAAAGCAGGTAATAACAAATCACTGTCCTGTAATATCCCTTATATTTGGGCCCCGTAATAGCAATCACTTTAGCTTTTACCCATGTCGGATGCCCTGCATAGTTATGTGCGAACACTAAATCATCCACTTTAAACTCCCGTTCTAGTTTGGATGAGTATAGGGGTGTATCCGGGTGATACTCTGAGTGTAACCAATCCAACCAGGACCGCAGTCTCCGGTCCATCAGCATTTCAGCTGAGCTCCAGTTAGTGGCCAAGCTGGGGGTTATATGTTGGGCAAGAAGGAATTTGTCAATTTTCTCTTGCCAGTTTCCTGGAGCCATTCTGGTGAGGGTCTCCTTGGTGAGTCTCACCATTCGTTCCGCCTGCCCATTCCCAGCCGGACAATACGGTGCCACCAGTGCATGCCTAATCCCCATCTCCGCCAAAAATGACTCCATTTCCTTAGCTGTCAGCTGAGGCCCATTATCAGATACTAAGACGTCAGGTAACCCATGTGTCGCAAATATTCTCCTTAACAGCCAAATGGTTGCTCAGTTGTCATGGAGGGCATCAATATCACTTCTAACCACTTTGAGTATGCATCTATTACAATTAAAAACGTTTGTCCCCCCGATGGGTCCCGCAAAGTCTATGTGTATCCGTGACCATGGTCCCTTGGGTGCATCCCACTCCATCGGTGTTGTGCGCGGTGGCGCTAGTCAAATTTCTTCGCAGGGCGTGCACGTTGCCACCCATTCCATAATGTCCTTATCAATTTGTGACCACCAGAGGTAGCTCCAGGCCAGCGCCTTCATGCTCACAATCCCTGGGTGCCCCGCATGCAATGTCTCCAACACTTGTCCTCTCAAACTTTTTGGTATGATTACTCTCTCCCCCCATAATAAACATCCCTTCATTGCTGACAACTCCATTCTCTTGTTTTCGAATGTTCGGAATTCCTCCCTACCTTTTCTTGTGGCCACCCCCTCAACACCCAGTGCAGAACTCTGGCTAACACAGCATCCTTTCTGGTTTGGTCTGTGATTTCGTGTGATGTGGTTGGGCTGGCTGGATCGACATAGATCAGGAGCACCCTCGTCGCTGGTGCCAGGTCTTCCACTAATTCTGGTGTTGGGCATCTGCTGAGTCCATCTGCGTTGCCAATGCTGGTTCCGGGCCAATGGGTCAGCTTGTAGTTCTATCCTGTGAGAAAAATGGACCATTTCTTTGAACCTGCATGCTGCTTGGGTGTGTGAACCCCATGCACTCCGCGCAGCAAGGTGCGTCGTGATCAATATCCCAAGAGCTTACCTGTCATCTGGATGAACTCGATGGACAGCCTCCTCCAGGTCTCCCTCGTCCTCATCTTTGGTGTACTCAGTCAGATCCTTGCCGTACCTCTGGGCATGGTGAACCCCGCTAGTCCTGCGGATGTCAGTGGTGGAGTTATCGGAGGATTCTGTGGCTCGGGCTTCCTCCACAGCATCTTTAAAGGTTGCTTCCCGCTTCACCAAGAACTTTTTTTGGAGTTTCAGGTCACTCATCCCTAGGATGATGCGGTCTTTCATCATCTCCTCTGGATTGATGAAATCGCAGTTGGTTGCTATTTCTCTTAAGATAGCCACAAATTCATTGATGGTTTCCCCTTCTCTCTGGTGCCGGCAATAGAATTTGTTCCTGCTGACCAGTGGTGTCGCCGCCAGTGCATAATGGTCACGAAGCATGTTCTGTAGGGTCGTCCGGCAAAACAAGAGTCTGGGCCATCTTGAATACCTTAGTTCTGCAGTACGTGAGGAATAGAGCTCATTTTCGGTTAGCGGGGAGATCCTGATAATTGTTCGCCTCCATATACATCCAAAATTGGCACATGTACCCCTGCCACTCCTCTGATTTCAGATTGAAGATGGCAGGTGCTTGCGATGGGTTGGCAACCATTGTCCGGTTGGCTGATGCAGCGTCCTGCTGAGTGATGGCCATGGTGCCACGAGGTGATGGTCAGTTCTTTGTCCTCAGTCTTCCTTGAATCGCACCTTCATCGCCAGTGTTAAGTTTGAAGCGCGGGAAGGAAGAGACGGTATTCCAGAACCTTTTTAGTATTTTTATTCAGCTGGTCATCGTACAGAACTGCTGGCACGACAGCTGCGGTTCGCCTTTTAAACCCTCCTTGGCTTGCCGGACAGCCACTGACAGCATTTCATTTTTTCCTCTGCGAATTCCATCCAATCCGCAGCAGTCATGCAAATTCCTACATATGTACGTAATAATGGGGGGGGTAGGAAGGTGGGAGCTGCTTTGTCTTTAAAACATGTTTCTCCATTTCTCATCCAGAGAAATATATTCTTCCTTTTTAATATTTCTTAAAATATTTCATTCTTCTAGGAGAGGGGTGGGTGCTAACTTCCTACAGATAAAAAACAGTAGTTGTTTTTTATTCCTTCCATTAAATCATGTTTGATTATCAAGAGACTGTCTGGACAAGTCCCTGCAGTTTTCATGGCAAGGTTTTTTGGATGTAGATTGCCATTTCATCCTGCCTAAGGCTGAGACAGTGATTGGGCCAAATTTATCTAGTTGATTTTATTCCTAAAGCCAGACTAGAGTTTTCTGCTTTCTAGCCTGAGCAAAAACTGGTTCTAGTTTCATTATCACCACCTTGCAAAGATAGGAGCAAGATTAACATGTTTTTCTAACTTAGAAAATAACTTTTAAATTCCACAGTTACATATTTCTCTTCTTTTTTCCAATTTGGCACAACTAATTTGCTTACAGACTTTAGTATAAGTATTTTAATAGCAACAATGCAGAACCAAATACTAATTTGAAACATGGCCTTCTCTGAATACACTTTTAGCCCTCTGCCCACTAGTTTTCATGTGTGATGGGAAAGCTCAGTATCTTCCTGAGTTTTGCTTTGCACTGATAACAAAGTAGAGGTAGATGCAATTTATATAAAAATGGGCAGGAAATGAGATTGCCTTTTTCTGATTTTAAATATATTTATTTTGTTTTATCATAAAAGATAAAATACAAAACAGAAAAACAAACAAAACACAACCAACAAAGAAACATACATCCAGCACTAACAAAGTGTTAGTGTCCAACAACAACAAAGAAAAAAAGTTTGGTGTACACAAAAGGAAAAAAGGTGCCCCAAATACATACACACACACACACACACACACACACACACACACACACATATACATACATACATACATACATACATATATACATGCATATATATATATGTCGGTCTTTGGTTATTCGGGTTTTCTCCCGCGTAAAATTGGAGGTGTCTTGGCAACGTTTCGATAAAGTCTCATTTGTCATCTTCAGGCTGGTGTTTTCAGCTTCATGCTTCTAGGAGCAATGTGTGTGATCGCAGCTGTTTCTTCCTTTTAACTGCCAGGGGGTTGTGGACTGATTGGGTGGGAGCTTGGCTGTGTTCTGATTGGGTGGAGGTGTGTTCTGATTGGTTGGGGGTTTGGCTGTGCTCTGATTGGATGGGGGGTTGGCTGTGCTCTGATTGGATGGGTGTGTGTTCTGTTTAAGTGGGGGCTTGGTTGTGCTCGGGTTAGTCTGAGTAGCAGGGGGATTTGAGCTGGTGAGCTGTGTTGCTGTTGTTTGGCTTCGTGTTCGTGGCCGTGCTACCTCTTCATGGTGGGTGTCAGTCTGCTTCATGTATGGATTGGAGGGGTTTAAAGTGGCTAATGATGCGGCTGTGGTCTGCCTTCTGGTCCGTGGTCATGCTTCACCATCAGTGTGGGTTTGAGTCTGCTTTCTGCGTGGATGTGTGGTGGTTACATCCTGTGTGGCTCTCGTGAGTGTGGGTCTGGTGTCATTCTTTGTATTAGGGACTCGTTTGTCAATAAGGGCGGGTTTCCAAATGGCTGGTAGGTGGGAGGTATCATCTCGTTTATTCATGCTATGTGGACGTTTTTCTATCTCGATGGCTTCTCTGATTATTCTGTTGTTAAAGTGTTCAGTTTTGGCGATAGTTCTGGTCTTTTTAAAGTCAGTGTCATGTCCTGTGGCTTTGAGGTGTTGGACCAGAGAAGAAGTTGGTTCCTCTTTTCTGACTGAGTTCTTGTGTTCTTCAATGCGTGCACTTATTCCTCTGTTGGTTTGTCCAATGTATGTGGTGGGGCAGGGGTGCATGGGATTTCATATACTCCTTGATTTTCTAACTCAATTTTGTCTTTGGGGTTTCTTAGGATGGTGGATATTTTTCGGTTTGTGCAGAATGCTGTCTTGATGTTGTGTTTGTGGAGGATCTTGCTGATTCTGTCTGTGGTGCCTTTTATGTATGGGAGGAGGGCTTTGCTGTTTTCTTGTTCTCTGTCTTGGATTTTAGTGGGGGTTTCTTTTTGGATTAGGTTGGTAATCTTATTTCTTTGGAATCCATTGGATGTCAGTACGCTAGTGAGAGTGTGTAGTTCGGTTTTTAGGTGTTGTTCGTCAGCTAAGCGTTTTGTTCTGGAGATGAGTGTCTTGGCTACGGAGTTGATTTGTGCTGGGTGGTGGTGTGAGAGTGCGTGCAGATAGTGGTTTGTGTGTGTTTTCTTCTGGTAGATGGTGTGTCCTAGGGAGCCATTGGATTTTTTGTAGACTAAGACATCCAGGAAGGAAAGTTGGTTGTTCGCTTCTGTTTCCATGGTGAACTGTATTTTGGGGTGTAGGCTGTTGAGGTGTGTGAGGAAGTTGTCCAGTTTTTTTTTCCCATGTGGCCAGATTATGAAGGTGTCGTCTACGTATCTGAGCCAGAGTTTGGGTTTGTGATCAGATTTTTCTAGAGCTTGGGTTTCAAAGTGTTCCATGTAAAGGTTAGCAATGACAGGTGAGAGGGGTGATCCCATGGGTGCTCCTTCTATTTGTTTGTATTTTTGTCCGTTATAGATGAAGTATGTGTTGGCTAGGCAGTGGTTGGTCAGATCTAGGATGTGCTTGGGGGGGTTATATTTGTTTTGGATAGCTGTCAAGGCTTCTTTGATTGGCACTTGGGTGGAGAGGGATATGACATCGAAGCTCACGAGTAGATCGCTGGGCTGTAAGTTTTGTTTCTTTATGATCTCTATGAACTGGAATGAGTTTTTTACATGTGAATTGATGGATTCTGCATAGGGCTGTAGTTGTTTGGCAAGAAATTTGGCTAGGTTTTGTAGAGGTGAGCCTATGGAGCTGACTATGGGTCTAAGTGGGGTTCCTTCTTTGTGTATCTTGGGGAGACCATAGAGCTTAGGGCATCTGGATGATTTCTCTCTGGGAGTGATTCGTTGCTGGATCTCTTCGCTGATGGGGGAGGCTTTTATTTTGGATCTAGTGTTTTTTTCCAGGTAGGTGGTGGGATCTGTGTTAAGGGGTTAGTATGTGGAGTCTTGGAGTAAGTTGGTTAATTTGGTTTGGTAGTCAGATGTGTTCATAACCACCATGGCGTTTCCCTTGTCTGCTGGTAGGATTATTATGCTAGTGTCTTCTTTCAGGTTAAGTAGTGCTGTCTATTCCTCTTTGGGTAAGTTGCTTTTGGGTGACTTGCTGGTGCAGAGGATGTTGGTGATTTCGAGTCTGATTCTGTTAGCGTCATCGGGGTTGACTTTGGTCAGGCTGGTTTCAACTCCGCATATAATGGTTTCAGTGGAGATATGTTTGGGAGCGACTGCAAAGTTGAATCCTTTGGAAAGGACATTGGTTTCGGCTTTGGTGAGGATCCTATCTGAGATGTTATGCACTGTTTGTTTCATGTATGGCTGTGAGCGGGGAGGGTTTTGTTTCTGGCATTCTAGTAGTCTTCAGAGTTTGTTAGTGTGTGTGTCTGTCTTGAGGGTGGTCTGTGTTTCAGCTCTCCAGACAGCGAGTTGTTTGGATTTGTCCCAAAGTGCGGGGTGGATCTTGTTGCTGAGTTTGAGGTGAAGTGTGAGGAGATCTTTGTTGATTCGCTCTAGAAGAAATCTTTTTGTGTGAAGTTCATTTCTGATTAGGGCCAATTCTGTTCTTTTCAGTATGTGTTTGGTGGCTGCATAGTTGGAGTGATATTTCAATTGGAAGCATGTGGGGATTAAATTTTGATCACGCAGTTGCGTAGGAATGCGAGGTCACATAAAATGGAAGCTCTTTGGACTTCAAGTTTTTCATAGGTCCTGGTCAGATGGTAGATATCTTCCCCGTAGAGGTACAATATTTGTTTTCTGAGGTTTTCGCGGGTGTTTGTATGTAGGTCTTTGGTTATTCGGGTTTTCTCCTGCGTAAAATTGAAAGTGTCTTGGCAACGTTTCGATGAAGTCTCATTCGTCATCTTCGGGCTGGTGTTTTTGGCTTCATGCTTCTAGGAGCAATGTGTGATCGCAGCTGTTTCTCCCTTTTAACTGCTAGTGGGGGTGTGAACTGATTAGGTGGGAGCTTGGCTGTGTTCTGATTGGGTGGAGGTGTGTTCTGATTGGTTGGGGGCTTGGCTGTGCTCTGATTGGCTGGGAGTGTGTTCTGTTTGGATGGGGGCTTGGTTGTGCTCGGGTTAGTCTGAGTTGCAGGGGGATTTGAGCTGGTGAGCTGCGTTGCTGTTGTTTTGCTTCGCATTTGTGGTCGTGCCACATCAAGACACTTCCAATGCCAAGACACTTCCAATTTTATGCGGGAGAAAACCCGAATAACCAAAGACCTACACATACATACATACATACATACATACATACATATGCCAAAACTGTAGAAATGGTGGTGGATTTTAGAAGAAAACCTCCTATACTACCACCTCTTACAATACTAGACAACACAGTATATCAGCAGTAGAGTCCTTCAAGTTTCTAGGTTCTATCATATCGCAAGATCAAAAATGGACACCTAACATCAAAAATGTCATCAAAAAAGCACAACAAAGAATATTCTTTCTACGCCAACTCAAAAAGCTCAAACTGCCCAAAGAGCTGCTGATTCAGTTCTACAGAGGAATTATTGAGTCTGTCATCTGCACCTCCATAACTGTCTGGTTTGGCTCTGCAACCAAACAAAACAAACACAGACTTCAATGGCTAATTAGAACTGCCAAAAAACACCCCAACCACAATTGTTACCAACCTGCCTTCCATTGAGGACCTGTATACTGCATGAATCAAAAAGAGGGCT